AGACCAATTCTTATAATGACTGGAAATTAATCTAGTTTTTCAGCCAAACTTAAAGAACTATTCATAAAATTCTTTGCATCAAGAAAATATTGTTTAATTTTATTTTGAAATTCAGTTTTAAATTGGTTAAATTACAATTACAAAAATTACAGATTTTTACAAAAAAAAAAAAAAAAAAAAAAAAAAAAAAAAAACTGCGTGCATAAATGCGTACAATGCGCAAAAAATTGAGCGGATCACCCCGAATAACTTATGAATTTAAGATCGGATCTTCACATTCTACTACTCAATCCTAATTGTTTGAATTCAAATTAATTAAAGCTAATTATTAATTAATTGCTAATTATATTTGATGAAAATAATTAATGCAGACAATTTTTTATGTTGGATATAAGAACATAAATTTTCTGATTTAATACACTTTTTTTTCTCCATTAATTCGTAATTATGACCCCCAAATTATATACGGGGGATAGCCAATGATTTATGAAATGGTCTCATTGGTTTGGTCAGAAGAGCGGTCCAAAGTTTGAACCCCATGATGTTAATTTTAATTTTTGCTAAGTTTACCATATCTCTAAAACTTAAGCGAATCGAAAAAAAAAACTTACATACAATTTTAAAATTCATTTATCTAAATGTATTTTCATTCAAAATATATTTTTTAACAAATATTTCTTTTTTTATTATTATATTTAGTAACAGTAAAAAATTTAGAATTTAAGTTATACAATTTCAAAAAATTGCAAAAATTGAGCGAATTTGGTCAAAAAGTTCTTGAAAAAGCGAATTTTGAAAAAAATCAATTTATTAAAATTCGATTTCTCTGGAACTATTCGTCCGATTTCGCTCAAATTGTGTAATTTGCGCTTCAAAATTATTTTACTGACAAATTTTTAAAAATAGTAAGAAATTATATACCTTACAAGTTTAAGCTTTTCCTCTATTAAATCAAATAATGAATTATATAAAATATTAACTGACAATTAACTGAAAGTTTTTTTCTTTCTTTTCATGGAATTATCTTTGAACAAACGGATGTTATAATTTTGCGCAGAAATACTTTCATCTGCTTAAATATTTTTGATCCGCCTAAAGAATTTCGAGATATGGTAAAATACGAAAAAAGTAAAATTAACATTACGGGGCTCGAACTTTAAACCTCTGCTGACCAAACTATCGGGTCCATATTTTTCGATGTGCCAATATTCGGGTCATTGTTTGCAGCTACCCTCTATATTTTAAGGTTCTAAAGTATGAATCTGGGGAAAAAATGCATATTTATTCAGAAAAATGGAACGTTATAACATCGCAATTCATTTAATGAAATATGGGGCATTTTGGTACTACAAGGAGAATTTTTTTAAAGCTCCCTTCCAAAAAAAATCAATAGAGAGTAATTACAAAATAACAATACGAAATATATACCTTTATATACTTTTGCAAAAGTTATGTATCTATATTCTTTTGTATGCATCTTATTTTACAAACTCTTACAGAATATTAATAACAACATAGTTGTGTTCGTTGTAGCACGAAAAGGAGCACTCTAACTATCATATACTTTTGTAAAAATTATATATCTATTGTGGCGTTGGGGTTTGATTTGCAAAGTCCGAATCTACAAATCTCTGACGTTGGCTTACGTCGCTTGGTGCCGATAATTGTTGTATGACGTAGACCTCACACCTGAATGGAGATTTCCTCGGAGTATATACGTGAAGTACGAAATCGGCTAAACGCGCACAGGATGCATTTTGATATATCTTGGCCGCCTCTCCACAATTCACTCTCTCTCTCTCCGTCGGTTCATGAGTAACTAGCTAGCAGTTAGGCATGTTCTTGCCGGTTACTCATTTTGCAGCTTCTTCTATGCTGCTTGAATGTTAAAATCGTTATATTTTATTTATGTTAAAATGTTTAGTTAAATTTACCAAGTTTTAAGTGTTAATAAAGATAGTTGCTTATTTGGGAATGTTGTTTATGAAGTGACACGACATAAACCTGTAGTTCTTTTTCATTAACACTTTCACGTGGGAAGTTATACTATAGTTGAAGTCAGATTTCTTCCCAGAGTTCAATTGGGATTCTACCAAATATATCAACCTCCACACTATATTCTTTTGTATGTATCTTACTTTACAAACTCTTACAGAATATTAATAACTGCATAATTTTGTTAAAAAAAGGCCCTCGTTGTAGCACGAAATGGAGCACTCTAACCATCATATACTTTTGTAAAAATTATATATCTATATTCTTTTGTTAGTATCTTATTTTACAAACTCGTACGGAATGATAACAGCATAATTGTTATATGTTTATTATATCATGAAAAGGCGTCTACTTATTTAATTAGATTTGGATTGTTTAAACATTTCAGACTTTAATTTCATAATATCACAAAGGATACATTATAATTCTCAAACATGTTTTTGTTAAACAGCCGTATATGGTATTATACAGAGTTTGGATAACTTCAAAAGCTATTGTTTTCTATCATAAACCTCCCTTCATTGTTAAGAATTTCCCTTCATTGAAATAATAAGAATTTTAATCATTGTTTGTAAAATGATTTTTTAACCTTCAGATGAATTNAAATACTTCCACAAGTGTAAAAAAATATACTTCAGGCTGATAAGTAATAACCTAAGGTTGAAAATGAAACACTTTAAAGTGGTAAATATTTACCCCTCCACAGATGTAAAATTAAACACCTCAGGTTGAAATATCTATACCTCTGGAGGTATATTTAAGGTATATTTGAGGTTGATTTTGAGGTATTCATTTGCACCCTTTTCAACCTTAGCGACGTATTTAAATAACAACCTCCTTTATATCTTTAAAATATACCTCGTTTATACCTCGACTTATTCATAAGGGATGTTCTTGCCGGTTACTCATTTTGCAGCTTTTTCTATGCTGCTTGAATGTTAAAATCGTTATATTTTATTTATGTTAAAATGTTTAGTTAAATTTACCAAGTTTTAAGTGTTAATAGAGATAGTTGTTTATTTGAACTGGGAATGTTGTTTATGAAGTGACACGACAGAAACCTGTAGTTCTTTTTCATTAACACTTTCACGTGGGAAGTTATACTATAGTTAAAGTCAGATTTCTTCCCAGAGTTCAATTGGGATTCTACCAAATATACCAACCTCCACACTATATTCTTTTGTATGTATCTTACTTTACAAACTCTTACAGAATATTAATAACTGCATAATTTTGTTAAAAAAAGGCCCTCGTTGTAGCACGAAATGGAGCACTCTAACCATCATATACTTTTGTAAAAATTATATATCTATATTCTTTTGTTAGTATCTTATTTTACAAACTCGTACGGAATGATAACAGCATAATTGTTATATGTTTATTATATCATGAAAAGGCGTCTACTTATTTAATTAGATTTGGATTGTTTAAACATTTCAGACTTTAATTTCATAATATCACAAAGGATACATTATAATTCTCAAACATGTTTTTGTTAAACAGCCGTATATGGTATTATACAGAGTTTGGATAACTTCAAAAGCTATTGTTTTCTATCATAAACCTCCCTTCATTGTTAAGAATTTCCCTTCATTGAAATAATAAGAATTTTAATCATTGTTTGTAAAATGATTTTTTAACCTTCAGATGAATTAACTGGTCAATTTTAGTGTCAATTGGTAGTTAATAAGTATGAGCGGTGAATTCGAAGAAAGTTTCGTTGGCGCATTAGTTTAATCGCATTAATTTAATCGCATAGTTGGCGGATTAAGAACTACAACTATCCATGTCTTTTTAACTACAGAAGCCCCACATTTCAAAATTTAGGAGATTGTGAATGGTGTTTACATCTTTGGGCAAAGTATTACGTTGACGAACTTATCTAGAGGATAGAGAAGAGAAACATTCTGTTCCTACGTTGTTTACAGAAATGCACTTTAATAAACGAAAAAAATTGATCTTAACTTTTAGTATGAGCTTAATAAAGCTAATGTTGACTTTTTTTCTGAATTTTTAACAAAATTTCCAGTTAAATATTAGAAAACGGAAATTTTCAGAACAATGGTGAACTAATAGAGTTAGGTGACTTATTGAAGGAGATATCGAACTGCATTACCGTAATACAGTTTGGAGATTTCCAAGTTTTACTACTAATGGATGAAAAAATCGCTCTAAATCTGTTAATATTATCGGATAAGTATCAAGTATTGCCGTTAGTTGAGAAATGTTGTGAAAGTTTGTTTTATCCCTTAGAAATGTGTGCAAAACACTATCAATCACAGATGAAAAAAATCATGAATAATCATGTAACCATTTACTAAAATGGTTACATTAAAAATATCAAATGATTTATATAATATATTTTATATAATAAGTAAAATACCATTCACTAAATCAATGAGTAAACTATCTGGTTGAATGCTTGTTTTTTTATGAGATCATTTGCTTTATTTTTTTTATTCACTGCTTTGCAACTTTAATCCATTATAAAAGCATATAATAAATCTCAAAAGGAATAATTATGCATTTTCAAAAAATTTCATTTGTCAATAACCGTTTGAAGTTTAAAAACTTGAATATTTTAAGAATTTCTAAACAGAAAGTGTTTACTCCCATTGAATTTATGTCTTAAAAACTCTTGACAACAGCAGAAATATAAAATAAGTGAAAAAATACCCCACAGTGTTAATAAAAAATATTTATTGAAATCGTGCTTTTACTCACCTTTGGCCCTAATGGGTAAGGCCAAATAATGGGTTAGGACGACATTTGCTATAAAACTATTGAATATGCATGAAAATACTCGTAATGACATTGCATGTTTGTCCTAATTACATAGCTTTTTATTTGTTTTTTGTTTTAACTTATTGATTGATTTAAAAAAAATGTTTTAAAAGATATGTAAACAATTAAAAAAAAAGTAAAATTGTCAAAACAGATTCTACCGAAGGCAATTCATACGATAATTGGGCAACATGAAAAAAATCTTCAATTTTCTTTTGCAGTGGAATCGGTATTAGAAACTTCGAAAGAAGCCAGCTTGTCTCCTGTAAATTCACAGAAGAAGGAACTGGTTGCTGGAAGTTCGAAAGAAGCCAGCGTGCCTCCTGTAAATTCCCAGAAGACTGTAAATTCACAGAAGAAGGAACTGGTTGCTGGAAGTTCGAAAGAAGTTCTAAAGCAAAGTCAAGAGTTATGGTGAGACGTTTAAAAAATCGTGCAACAATTGAAATCTATTGCATCATTCTGACGCAATACTTAGAGAAATTTCAATTTAGAATGCTTTAAGATTGTGATCTATGAATTTTGGAAGTTTTGGTTAGTAAATAAATTTTATCTTTTAAAAAAATTATATCTTACTCTACCTCACAATGACATTTTATATAGTAAAAGTTACGTTACAATAAAATAATTGAAGGATATATTATAATTAGAATGTTTATAAATTGTGAAAAGATGGAATTATCCGCATAACCATAAAACGTCAGCCTAGTGTTTATTTTTCTGAAAATATTTTAATTTAACATATGAAGTTTTCTTCGTAGCTTTTTTCTCGCAAAACTTCACCTAAGAAACCTTTTAGCTACTAATCCTGACTGTCCAATTCAATGAATTCTAAAAAACTGCCTTTTTTCCAGCCAAATTTTTGAAACTGAGTTTGGAAAAATAATAAGCATCTGAACTAATTTCATTGCGCTTGAATCATATTTAATAATAGATCAGATATTAAATATGAATATAGGCTAACATTTTAAAAATATGTTCTTTAATCATTAAAAAGATTGTGAATGGAGAATAAAAAATGAGTTTAAATGAATATAAAAATGAGCTGGTTAAGATGAGTTTAATTATAAGGATATAGGGATTATCTTAAATGTTGAAATAATTAATAATATCACATTTCACACGTTATTATTAATTACTACATAATTTGCGCTTATTCCTTCATTGATAAAAACATTAATTTAGGAGAAAAAAATGTTAACTGGAGTATAAGAAAATGAATTTAAAAATATGATTTTTAGAAGCAAAAACAATTCGTAAAGACCAAAAAAAAAAAAAAAATAGCACTGGCGTGGTAAAATAATTAAAGCTTTGAATAGTTAATAAAAGTTTCCAGTTCAATGATCTCAACTCTGATTACTTTTACTTTAAATATACCTCTCTAACCTAAGCATTCATTTGGCCCTCATGATTTATGTTAATTCCTTAATTTTCTTTTGTATTTCTTGCAAACGTAGTATCTTTAATTTTTTTAATCACATTTTGGTCATTCACATATGTGTTTGCACAATATTTTGACTTCACTTTCCCAGATATAACACAGTTTCCACATTTCAAGAGTCACAGATACTTGTTTGAAGTCATACACAGTGAGTCACGAAACTGCGATCCACAAACTGCTTAATTTCGTCGCACAGTGACTCTTTCGAGACATGTTTACACTGAGTGGCCAAATTATTATGACCACTTAACTGTTTCATACAAAATCAGCTGTTGAATCACAGTGTACGGGCAAGATAGCTGCAAAAAAAGAATGCAAGGCAAGTGTGCCATCAATTGTACTGTGTTACGCGTGGAGATATGGGCAAAAAACGTGACTTGACTGAATTATAACGAGGGATGATTGTAAGCTCTCAAAGTGACGGGACCAGTGTCAGTAAAACGGCTGCTCTTGGGAAGTGTTCGTGCGCAGCAGTTATTACAGAGAGAGGACTACCAAGCTGACAACCGGGTCTTAACGTCAGGCTTGTGTGTCTCACAGATAACTGAATGATCGAGCTGAATGGAAACTTGCCAGAGTTATCCAGTCGAACAGAACAGCAACAATACGTGAAATGGCAGGGAATCTTAATGTAAGTGCCACTGAGAACGTCTCTTAGCGAACTGTGCACCGCACATTACACCGTGTAAGCTATGGGACCGATGACCTTTTCGAAAGCCTCAGCTGTCATCCTTGAGCAAGAGCAGGTGTCTCCAGTTTTCTAAGGAGCATACAGATCGGGCAATAGAGGACTGGAAAAAGGTTATGTGGTCTGATGAATCTTTCAACTACACCATGCAGATGGCAGGGTTCGAATATGGCGAAAACAGCACGAAAACATGGACCCCAACTGCATTGTCACAACACTTTAAGCTGGCAATTTTAGGGATTGAGGGATATTTTTTTTAAAATTGCATGGGTCCTTTGATTCCTGTGAGGAAACAACTAAATACTCAGGGGTATTTGAGTGTGATCACGGATCATGCACACCCTGTTATGTTAACCCCTTAACGATCAGTTAATTTTCAAGAAAACGGTCATAAAAGTGCCTATTTTTTGGCTTTTGTATTTGTCTTAGGTATTTGATTAGTACTGCAACTAGTTTAAAATAAACTAGCTATCTGCAATTAGCTCAAAAATATCCAGGTACTGCATAAGGTGTGTAAAATGAGAAATAAAATTTTTTACGGGCAAAAGAAATGAATTAGTTTTATTCTTATTGGCTCGTTACTACTGAACACTACAGCCCGTCAATATCACGGGAGCGAGAAATAGCGGGCGAAATCTCACCCCGTCATTTTCACGGGAGCGAGAAGGAAGGGGTTAATGGTGTATCTTGCTGGGGATGGATACTTTCAGCAAGACAATGCTCCTTGTATGGGGCCGGGACAGCCTGGTCGGTAGGGCGCTGGACCCATATCCAATTNACTTAGAGTCCCCCGCAATCAGGCTAACCTTAGGATGTTTTCGCGGTTTCCCTTACCATGTGACGCACATAGGGATCAGTTCCCTTCAAATAGTTCTCCACAAAGGCAAACTTGATCCAGGAGTTCCCTTGTCTTCTGGATTGGATATAAAATTGTAAGGCTACGGAGCTGAACATTACTTGTCGTAAGCCCAAAATTGGTCGGCTGTTCAACGACGGTTATAAAATAAAAATAAAATGCTCCTTGTATTGTCATCAGATGGCTTGAATAGCATGGCGGTGATTTAATTGGCTGGCACAATCACCAGATCTCAATCCAATTGAGAATTTGTCGGAGGAGATCAAGCGGATCATCATCTGACAGCTGAAACCAGTGCCGTCCAATCTGGCGGAACTGAAAAGTAAAGTTCATCGGATATGGGGTCAAATTCTTCCGACCACCTACGAACATCTCATAGAATCTATGCCAAGAAAAATTCGAGCAGTATTACTGGGTTACTGCATAATTGAATATACTATATTCTTTATGGGATACTTTAGTTTTCTAAAATTGATTTAAAACTAGTTAATTTAAAAATGTGTTAATTCAATGCTGTAAAAATTAATATTATCTTACGTTAACTATGTTTTGTTCGCGCATTAAAATAAATTCGTGTTCTTCCTCCTTATCAAATATAAATCTTTCTGATATTATACGTTTTATTTATCAATTTATAGTTCATTTAATTATTTTCTTCTTGTTATAGAAGAAAATTTGATTGCATTACAATATACAATAAAACTACATGCATATTATCACTATTATTAGTAGAAAGTGCTTCAATTAATGACAGCAAAACCGACAATTGGTAAAATTACTTTGGGTCTTTAAGGGTTTTGTTCAAATTTGCAAGTCTTACAAAGTAAGCAATCGAAAAATATTTAATTAAAATTTTAACAAAAGATTTTAAATACTTTACATAATGTGCTCTTAGAGCAATTATTTTATAATTTAAATATTTGTAAATTTTATTTGCATAAAAGTGAGTAAGGGGAAAAAACTGAATAGTGATATTTTAATTAAATTTGGTTGGTTGGTTGGTTCTAATGTCACTTGCAACACGGGCAAGCCTGTTTGGTGAAACTGAGCAAATTTAAGGCAGAGTGTGCGATACTTGTCTTTCAGTGGCGCCATCTATGGCCAAGAATTTGACTTCTGCCACCCCATACGTCACACCTGCATATAAGGCGGACCCATTCAGACATCCATTCAGTCATCCACGCGTAATTTTGACCTGCATCAGAGATAGATCGATCTCCAATCCAGTACCCCCAGAAGTTTTGATTTGTTATGGGAACATGGAGGACTTTGCGACTAGACAGAATTTTAACGTGCATCATTCACCAACTACACGAGGAGTCCTCGGCCGGCGGGGCTCGAGCCCACGAACTCACTGACGTGGGCCCAGCCCCCTACCGACCAGGCTATCCCGGCACTTAATTAAATTTAACAACAATAACAAACAATGTAATAATTGAGAAAAAACTTGAAGGAAAAAAGAATATAAAGAGTTATTTGAGGAAATGAAACATTTTGCCTTGCAAACAAAGACATAAGTAAATCAAAGTCTATTTTTTTTTAAAAGAAAATCTTTTAAAATTAAATATTTAAAATATATTGAGTAACAAAGTATTGAAAAAATTAATTATTTTTCTTCTGAGGACAATTCTTCAAATTATCAATTTATATTCAAATACTTTCTTAACTTGATTCGTATATAATTGTTGAATCAATTGTTGCATGCATGAATGAATGTTACATTATAAAAAAAGTTATCCACAAAAAAAAGCCACATTGAAAATATAAATTGAAAAAGTCAATTAAAGGGTGTTGAAGTTTTGTCTTTGGAGAGTGGGCAATGCTTTAAAAATGCTTCGGTATTTATGATTATTAGTACTTATGATACTAAGTATTTATGAATCATTCTCAAATAAAACAAATATGACTTTCTTTGTCTTTTATTTTCAGCTCGACGATACTTGAGTCAGAAGGAAGAAAGATGAATACATGATGAAAAAAAATTATATATCTCATTTGCTTTTAAGTATACTTGAGTTTGCTTTTAACTGCATTATGTTAGTCCCGTAATTACTCTAATAAAGATGTAACCAAAATACAAGTTCAAATTTAACTAAAATTCTATATTTTGTTCCTCCCTATGTTCTATCTTAAGCTTTTGTGCGAGTTTTTTATCAACTGGCTGAAACCTTTCAAAATTAAAAGAGATAAAAACGAAACTTAACGAGTCATTTTGTAGATACACTCTGCATTTTTAACTTAGGTAAATCTGCCATGAGACCTGCAGATCTGAAGGGTTTTTCAACTAATATATCCAGAGTGTTTTGCAATAACCATCTTAAATATATATGTGTTAGACTCCTTGTTGAAGTTTAAGTTTAAAAATAAAAGTAAAACGTTATTGAAATCTGATCAATCACTATATAGGAAGGTGGGATCAAAATCATCAAGTCCAGAGTGAACCTGGAAGTAAGGGTCAGCCACCTTTCTGTAGTAATAAAACGATTTAGTTTTCTTCTCATCATCTTCTTTCGTTACTTTAATTTAAAAATAGTTTTTCTCGTTTATATTTCAGTTAGCAATCTCGACTAAGTACATATTTAGACAACATTCTTGATATAAATGCAAAAAAACTATTTTTTAACTATTATATATTTTGCGCCAATCAAAATTTTTTAAAAGGTTCAATATAAATATTAATGTATGGATTGTTGTATATAATAATAATTTATAATAAATAATTTTCTGTAATTTAGTTCAGCATATTAACGGGGTAGTTACTTTTAGTGACAGTTAAAATATTTTTAGGACTGAAATTGTTCAAGAAATAAATTAATGTAGCTATTTCGATTAATTTAATTTGAATTTTAACATAATTTTTTGTTAATAAGTATGTTTCCCCGGCAATTGAAGGCTAGTTAAAAAAGTTAGCCGAACTATTTTTACTTCTTTCCATTTATAGAATTTTGGCAGAAATTCAAGGGTATATTAATTCAAGGGTAATATATAACAATGCATTACATTACATGCATTGGTTATTACAATGTTTGCAATTGGTTTTTATTAAGTTTAGTTTTTACACTACAAATATTTTGTTCATATATATTTAAAATTAGAAAATTATTTTTCATGAAATTTATGAACAGATGAAGAAACATACAACGGGACATCTCAAATTGTGCACACTTGTTCTGCTTTGATAAGCTTTAGTAGACTACACCTGTTTGTATTAAAAAAAATTAGCATATTTTATTTTAATTTATTTAAACGTATTTCATTAAAACTTAAATTTTTAACATATTGGAGCAGAAATTAAAGAAGCTAAAACACATTTTATTACACACATATCATACACATTTTTTTTAAAATTTGGTGAAAATAGTGGTAAGTATGTTTGTCTAAGATAGGTACTCTGACCGCCACGAGGTCTGCAGCAGTATAGTGCTATGAAGAAGAGGGCATTTTAGGGAGGGTAGCTTTGATCAATAGGTCTCCTTTTCTCCTGCCAAAACCAGTCCTAAAGATGGAACCTTGCACCCCTACTTGAAATAATCACACCTCGTTACCATGGTCACCGCCACAGCTCCAGACGAATGTCTGGCAGAGTACCTATCTTAGACAAGCAGTACGCAAACCTCGGCCTTGGAAAGGATTAAGAAAAACAAAAGTTTACAAATGTTTTCACTTCTTTTCTTTTTCAGAGATTGCTCTAAATTATAAGCCTATTACATACATACGAAAAGGAAGATTTTTAAACTTCAGGTAAACAATAAAAATTAACATGTATTTACACCCAGATAAAAATGTTTTACCTCAAAATGCATAGTTCGCAAAGAAATAAACGAATTATCCTAAATGATTTTTGATTTAAGGCCGTTGGGACCATTGTCAACCTCAATCTACTTCTTAATGTCATTCTATGGGAGAAATTCCTTCGATTTTTTTTTAATAATTTTCAACCGAGCAGCTTAATGTTTTATATTACTGAATAGATCTCATTTAAACTGACGAACCTTATTCAATGATTTGTTTTCAAATTTTGTTAATAATTTTTAAAAAAACTTGGAATACGTTTTTAGAGTAATTTTTATTAGGTCTTTATGAAGTTAATTTTTAAGTTACACACACGAACTACGTACGAACTTTTTTTCTATCTTCAACAATTTGGAAATATATAAAAGAAAGTATTGTTAAAAGGTGTTTCTTCTGGAGGTATAAAAAATAAATTCTGCTCTGATATTGTTCTTCTATCCTCGTTTTGTCCATGGGTGGAAATCACTGCACAGTGAATAGGGGAGCACCAACCATGTTTTATGGTTACTGTAAAAGAATGATTAATTTTGCATTGTTAGGTTTTGATAATCAAAAGAGTGGTCACACGTAGGAATTCATCTATCATCATTTACTGAAAGGGCAAAATAAGATCTTAATTCCTTACACAGATTAGGAAAATCTTTTTTAAGATCTGAGTAATGTATAAGTAATGGATAAGATTAAATAAATTGAATATTAAAGTCATTATTAACTATTAGGAAAAAGTTACTTTACATTGAGAAATTACTTCTAAAATTTCTTATAATTAGAATCAACAGTTTTATTTGGGGGAAAAAAATAAATTAAATATTTTTTCTTCCCAGTAACTTTTTATTGTGCACTTTCAATTTTTCGGAATTTAATGTCCTGACCTTTTTTAAAGTCTTACGATCCATTTATAGTGTTTATTTATTTTTGGAATAGTTTTTCTTATAAAAAATTATACTTGGCTAAATTTTTTTGTTAATTACAAGGTTCTTTTAGGTTTGCATTTATTTTCTTAAAAATTATTTGTTAAAAAGTTATTTTTTGTTAAAAGTTTATTTCTTAAAAAAATATAAAATCCAATAAATTAATCTTAATTTAAATAGTTATCTGTTTTAAATAGATTTATCAAAATGGCATCACCAACTTTGGCGTGACATCAATCTTTTTGGAAGAACTGTCAATCTTGTCAATAACTGAACCACACAAATGAAAAAGACATTTTTAAAAAGCATCCTGTCTTCTTAATTAATGATTTAAATAAATTTTTGTCGGTAAGTATTAAGTTCAATATGGATTTTGGAATAGTTATTGATTTATTTATGTCTCATTTCTCTCTTCACTAGTAACGAAATACAAAATCTAACAAACCGAAATACAAAACCTTCAAAACCTTGGCGAAAAAAATGCTTATTCAGATAAAAAAAAATATTGCAGTTACTTTTTTACTATAATATTATATTAACTTTTCTCGCCTCAGACACTTTTTATTGGGCACTTTCTACTTCTCGAAAATTAATGTCAAACACTTTTTAAAGTCAAACAGCTCTTTTTAAATAGTGTTGATTTTATTTTTAAAATAATTTTTCTTAATAATATTTTGCTAAATGTTCTTTTAACTTTGACCACAACGTCCTCACCATTCTCTTATCACTTCGGCAACGTAAGTATACTGTTCAGAGCATCGAAAAAATTCGCCTCAACCTTTCAATATGGAGAGTATCATTCTGATTTAGAACGCAATTTTTCAATGATATTCATAGTTGTACAGTATAAGTTATTGGTATAACAGAATAAGTTATTGGTATCATGCAGTACGCTTGCAAAAAATAATAAATCACATGTTTGAAACGAAAATATAATATTTTTCTTTATCGTGGAGTTGTTTACTGTACAAAATAATTGATTATACGATGTTGATATTCATTTAAATTGGTTTAGTTATTTTAGAATCAGCCAGGAACTTTAAACTTTAGAGAAAAAAGTATTAATATTGCACTTAGAAAAACTTGTTCATTTTTGGGTTAGGCACTACATTTTTATAACCGACCTCATCTGCAAAAGTTGGTAAGGCTCACGTGACAAATTTATAAATCATAAATACATGAGGATATTAACACTTGAATTGTAAAAATCGAAACCACTTTTCTAAGAAAAGGCAAGAAACGTGCAGTTGAAAAAAATGAAAAATTGCAAAGGGGGACTAACTAAAGAGCAATGAAGTAAAATTTGTTGGCAAGGTCCCCCTTTTTTATAACACTCAATGTTTGCTCGCATTAGTATGCTCGCATGCAAAAAGTATTTTTCATAAATTTAAATGCACACATTTTTATCCAAAATGCATTTTCTGTCTAAGCCTCCATAGTTGAAAGTGGACTATTGCACCTAAGAATAATTCTCAATATTTTCTCTTTTTTAATAATTACTCAGTCGACGGAGCATGTAGGTTCCTTGATATTAACGACTTCAATCAATATCTCTTGAAGAGCAGAAGCCTTTGTATGGGTTACGATAATCGAAAAATCCGTTCCTTTAGTACTTGTCAGAACGCTGTAGTATCTCTTTTAAAATCCCCCACTGCGCAGTTTAATATCCCAAACGTTGTGATATATTTATTATTTCCCCCCAATATGTAGTTATGCTCTTTATGTCAGGCTAATAAATTGATATATGTGGAGACTTGTCTCGTCCAGAAGATGTTGCTTCTATCTGATGTCGTTCTAATGCAAAAGGTATAAAACGGTCTCGAACACGTGTTTTATATTTTATAACCGTCGTTAAACAGCCGATCCAATTTTGGGCTTACGACTACAGATGTTAAACTCCGTAGCCTTGTAATTTTTAAACCAATCCAGAAAACAAGAAAACTCCTGGATCATTATTCCCAGAGGTATGATTTGTTACAGGAAAATGGAGGAGTTTGTGACCCGACAGATTTTTACACGAATCAGGCACCGTTTACTGAACAGAGAGTCTTCAGCCAGCGGTGATCGAACCCACGACCTCTTGGACATGGGCCCACTGCCCTAAAAACCAGGCTATGGCCATTCTACACGTGTTATAACTTTTGGTCGGCCTGAAGCCTGTCATTCATAGTCCGTTTTATCCTTTTCAGTAATGAGAAAGACAGGGAATATTAAAGTGCCCCATTATGAAATTGGATTTTAAAATGGCTAGGTGCATTTAAATTTGCTAATGTATAGCATGAACGTAAACATCTTGTTTAGATTAGAAGTTTTTCTACCCTAAATGCATTTTAATTTATGTCTTTGAAATAAAGTGAACGCTTATAGACGAAACGACTTTACTGATCATTTTTACTTTGGCTGTGAACGCCGTTAAA